ATATATGGTATTATAAGAACATTTTTTTTCAATAGTTAATTGTTAAAAATAATATTAGCAAGTTACACAATTAAATATACCAGGGGTGACCAAACTTTTTTTGATAGAGATCTACAGAAAATATTATTTTTTCATATCATTTAATTTATGAGTCATACATTTGATATATTTTGTTATATTATTTACCGTAGTATATTAGAAAAATATAGCATAAAACATATAAATATCTTTTAAATGAAAAATAGTGCAATTTAAGAATATTCGGAACAGTTAAACTTACAAAATAAATAATTTGAAAGTTTTGAATAAACTAATATAACTAATACATATATTATATTATATGTTCATAGCTCATAGTAAACATTTTATGCAAACACTTATGATAATATTAATTGAAAACAAACTTACTTTTTATACAGTTTGCATCATAAAATGTTTTACTAGTTTGAGTTTTATTGCGAAGAATGACAATTTTACGTGATTTTTCTTGACATAGCAACAATACTCTAAATTTTACCAGTTCAATTTCCTTTCTCCTACATAGAATACTTTGACGAGATGGTTTTTGACTGATTTCTTTGTTCATCAATCTACGTATTGTAGCACTTTGATGTCTCCCAGTTCGATTTTCGTTCAAACCAATTTCCCCTTGAACTACTTTTTCTTTTAATAAAGTAGCTGCTTCTCTTTGTTTACTAGTTATTCGTTGAATACTATGCATCCTATAACAAAATATAACATAAATTAAAATTGTAAAATTGTAAACTTTAAGCGAATTGTACCTTGTCAGTTGCAAAAGAGTACCACTTATTTTAACATCTTTCACAGGTAAAGTAAGATGAGTAATGCGAGCTAAAGTAGGCTGATCTTCAGCAATACAATGTGGAGCAGTATAATTTCCTCCAGTCATACAAAATACCAAAGAATTAGAATGAAACATTTTTGGATCTAATGACATTGGAGTTATATATAAAAGACCACTTAGTTCAATACCCCAAACAAACAAAACTTTGGTATGGTCATCTGTAGTTCTCCACAATCGTATTACAACAGCTGTAAAGTTACAAAGTTACTTCAATATTGAACATAATTCATTAATTATTAAATTAACATATGAGTACAGAGATAAAATATACATATTAACTGAACACGGACAAATGGCAGTCGCCATTTCGTCTTCACAGTAAAATCATTTTGCTATTTTGATGTAAGGCCACTTGGCCGTTAAAAAATACCCACCAATAGGATGCATCATAGGTTAGATACGGCCATGTACATATTTTTAATTTTAACTCTACTCTTAAGTATACTAGGGTGGTCCTTATATGGCAGTTTTGAAAAAATATTTAAATTTCTCAAGGGAGACCCCCTAGATTGGTTTAGTTAGATATAAAAATGAAATATTAGAAGTTTCAAGACAATCAGAAAAAGTTAAGCCGTGCCACAAGTTTTATGTTATTGCAACACCAATTAATTATTTTCAATCATTCCCAAACTTTACAAAACTCATTTTTATCACTATCTAAACGACTTTGAGGGGTTTTATTTGAATAAATCAGAGATCAAAAAATTAGGACCACCCTAACCTATTACTAAAAGTGTTATTTTTTTTAAAATTATTAAATTTAAAAATAGTTGATTTAATTGAGTTGAAATGGTGCTGAATTTTTGTAACTGCGAAGAACTCTTATGTCAAAATGGTTTTACGAGGAAATGGATATATTATATGTGAATCATTTTTTATGAACCAAAATTGAAAATTGTAATTTTTTACTAGGACATACATCTGAGCAAAATCTTTAATAGTGAAATTATATTGCACCCAAATATACATGATAGTTTATTACTTCAATTGAACATAATTTATATAAGAATCTAGATTACTACTGAACTCATTTTTAAACAAAATTAGAGTGATAAGTGAATACTTCAATGTTAATTGTATGTTAATTAATTCTCTAAACATTGGAAAAATTAATAAGTGTTATATAATGTACATATTAAGTTATAATTTTAATAAAATTAAAATGTAATAGTTAATACTTACATTATACAATACTTATTAATTTTTCCAATGATAACAGAATTAATTAAGAGGACGTGATACCTGCATGTTTTGTCTCTGTCTTACAAGTGCGTAACATAGCAAATTTCACGCTCAGCAGAACACGTGTAGCTCTGTAAGTTTAAAAATTAGTGCGAATTGACCTCTTATAAAATCTAAAGGTAAGATTATTATCTAGGCAACCTCATAGGTTTTTTATTATATTTTAATTTTAACGCGAGTTATGAGTATTTTAAAATTGTAAATCTTTTATACATCTTAAAATACTTATAACTCGCGTTAAAATAAAAATATAATAAAAAGCCTATGACATTGGCTAGATAATAATCTTACCTTTAGTTTTTATAAGAGGTAAATTCACTTTAATTTTTAAATGAACGGAGCTACACGTGTTCTGCTGAGTGTACAATTTGCTATGTTACGCACTTGTAAGATGGAGACAACACATGCGGGTATCACGTCCTCTTTATGTACAATTAACATTGAAGTATTCAATTACACTCAATTTTGTTTTAAAATATGTCCAGTAATAATCTAGGTTTTTATATAAATTATGTTTAATTGAAAGTTATAATTTTAATAAAATTAAAATATAATAGTTTAATACGATTAAGTACAATACCTTTAGCAGATCCAATCGAACTACAGATATCCATTTTTGACCATTTTAGGTTACGGCCACAAACTTTTTCACTAGTGTACAAAGGAGCACACATTGTTGTTAAATGTAATGTGTAATAAAATGAAGTTTTATTAGCTGTACATTCTGGATCATCAAAAAGATTGTAACCACTGATTTGAATTAAATTTCTAAGCCTTTGCTAAAAGTGAAAAAACATAGATAACAAAATGTGGGTTCTTAATTAAATATCCGATGTAAATACCTGTTGAGTAACAAAAGGCACCCATTCTTGAGAACGGATGGTCTCAGATTTTAACATTGTTACTTTCATTCCAATGAGTACTATTCACCATACCTAAAACAGTTGTAAAAAATAAACTACAGAGGTTCAATCAACAGATTGTGTAGAAAACAATTGTTTATTTGTGTCAAATTAAAATGTATCGAACATCAGAACTAATTAGAATAAACAATATACAACCAACACCTTTAATGTTTAATGAGGTTGGCGTTTTTAATATTTAGTTAATTAAATACGGCAATAGTGTATAACATCTTGATGAAATATTAATTTTTAAACTCACCTTTTGTCGCCCACTGAGTCATTGAAATTCTATAAAAATTGATACATTTATTTGATGACGAATTATTTGGTTTCAAGACTCAGTACATATAGTTTTGAACACTTAACAGAAAACATACTTTAAAAAAAAATAGATCTTAGTCGAAACTTTATAATATTAATTAGTTACCTACATAACCGACTATTTAGTATTGACATAAGTTTTCTTAAGTTATCATTGAATGATAACCATTATCAATTTTATGATCACAGTTTATCAAATTATACAGCATGGAGGCACTGAGATAGATACTATAATATACGATAAATATATATTATCTATCTTGGTGCACGGAGGTAAACAATTGATATTCGATAGATCAATATAATGTTATTATAAATATTATTATTTATTGTAATCATAACGAAGACTTGAATATTATTCTAGCGTTTATGATTATTATTTTTAATAATATTTAATATTTTAACTTACGAGTATAAGTAATTGTACCTATTATTATAAATATGTATCACCATTCACCATGAACCACGAACCAAGATATAATATAAGTAGATACCTACCTATGTATATCTTAGTTCGTGCCATAGAGTATACTATACTTATATAGTATACTCTATGGTTCGTGCCACTGCTTAAAATATAACAGATTATTGCAATAGTACTTGCACTATATAGTTCTAACACGTTACCTAAGTAATTAAAATAGCAGCATAAGGGGACGACCTATACTTAAGGCATGGACTGTACCCTTATGCTGAAATTGTAGATTGTGCGATAACAATATTGGCTAAGTATTTATATGCAATATAAATAGTATAGTTGTTGTACTCTAAAATATCTTCCCTACGATTACTTTTTATTATTTTAACATCCACAATGCGAGAAAACTTCTCTACACCAAAAAATGCACGGCACGTGAAGATATTAACTAGGCATTATGATGAAACGGATAGACTAAAGGATAAGTTAGTATTTGGTCTAAATAATAGATTGATGTGTAATGTAATAGTACTGTGTTATAACGCAATTAACGCGACGTCCAAAAATGTTTATCATTCGATTAGTCCGTTTAACTATTCGATAATTCTAACTATCGATAGTGTACATCACTGATAGATACTTATTTTGGTGCAAATTGCAAACACTATTTTCGGCTACATGCAGTGGTGCAAATTAAAAGCCCCCGCTGGTAGGAGGGTGAAAAATACTCTACGACCTCGGACCTACCAAATGTATTACAAAAACAAATTCATGGAAGTCGGTCGAGCCGCTTTGGAGGAGTTCAATAACAAACACTGTGACCAGAGAAATTTAAATATAAGATAATTAGTACTTAAACATAATATATTTAAATCATATTTTATTATTGTTATTAACTTATTAGTCCAACCAACACTTACTGTAAAAGAGAAGTGAATAGGTTCGTTGTACAAGACATAAGTAGGTAATAAATTAAAATGAATCTAGATATTTTGAAAATGTCATTATATGTATTGTAAAATATAATATTATAGTAGGTACATTATACTTTATTGTGATATAATATTTATGACTTATAACTATTGTTTATAAAAATTAGGATGTAGGTACCTACATCCATTGCGTATTATGTATATAAATATAACTCATAACGTGTATTATATTTTAACGTAACTTATAAAGTGTGTTAACATATTATTATTATTTAATAAATACGAATGCATCATTAATACAACTAAAACATGCTTACTACAATGTGAATATTTAATAATGTGACCTAAATCATTTAGGGGACGTAGGTATAGTGAAGACATGCATTACGAATAGTCTAACAGGATTCGAGTAGGCACTATTAGTGCGTCAGCGTACTTAGTTGGATCCTTAAAAGCACATACCGTATACACCATTTCATTTGGCACTTATTGCAATTTCTATCTTTGGGATGAAACTAGCATGCAGCACTGCGCTTTTAGTGCATGTCTATTGTTTTTGCAATGTGCGTAAAAATGTTTACATTAAAATGGTAAGGTGGGCCACTAGTATGACAATCCTTAACGATTTAAAAAAAAAAATGTAATATAAACATTAAACACACTACTTTATTATATGAAAAAATAATGGAAATAGCCAGATATCGTTCTATCAAGCGACGGCGAAGAAAATAAAATTTACAAATTGTACACAAATTGTTTGTATATATCAAATATTATTATTGAAATATAGTATTTTATGCTCAAACATTTAAAATTAAAATTTATACTGATTTACGTCTCACAATTACTTTTGGAATAATTGACGTAAATTTCGTGGACAGTTGGCAACTTTGCGTAAGTTTCACTTTTTTCCTATTGTTATTTTCCACCAACTCTGGGGGTTGTTGGGGTTCTGTAGGTAAAATGGTTTGCATTAGCAAATAACCATCTTCTCCTAGTTCGCTTGTTCCTCTCCCGGGAATCAGCGTGCGCCTAGATGAAAAAAATATTTTTTTTTTTACTGTAATATGTAACTGTAATGTTATGAGAAACTCCAAAGAAATGTTGCATTTCAAAGATAAATCTTATACACGACGTGTATATTCAGGAAAATAATAAGTACCTATTCACTATTCACTATATAGTAACATAATAGTTGTACTTATATATATAAAGCGAACGCAAACAAAATTACAAAAACATATCGTTTTTAGTATATTTTTAGGCATTTGCCTTTTATTATGATATTATTACCTAGGTATTATTATATTTTATTATTTACATTAATACTAGTACCTCAGATATACTGTTATTATTATTCATATTTTTTTTTCAGTAAAATATAATTGAATAAATATTACATTTTTAAAATGAAGATCCTATAATTATATAGGTAATTATTATTTTGAATTACACTCTATAGTCTATAAATTAGATATTTATTTAATTTTTCAATACTAACTTGTACTTAAAAAGTACTCGAAAAACCAAAGAAATATATTAATTCCACTATTCTTGTAATCGTTGGAATGATATTGTGGTGTAATTTAAATCTCAATAAAAACTATATTATTCATAAGATATATTACTTAATTATATTTATTGTAAGTTTCAAAGATCTTCAGATTAATATTAAGAGTTCAAGTTTTAATATTACAAATTACTCAATACTAAGATAAGGATAATCATGTTATATTTGATTAAGTTTTTTTAAGTTTGAAAATGTTACTACTGTACCTTACGTTAAGGATCTGCGAAAGATATTTGAGAATTTTTAAAATTATGCATGTCATTTTAATTACCAGTTGTATATTCGGCGTATTCTTGATCTCCTTCTAGTGTATTGATAGTTATTATCAACATAAATGTAACACCAACGTACCAAAGCCACCACAGAATAACAGACGATTAATTTACAAATGCATTCCAGTGATTGCAGAGTCGTTTGGTTCATTTGAAATTGTGGTCTCAAGTTGTTGTTTATCTATATGAATGATAAATACATTATCTGTTTGAATATCACATCACCAGGGTATTGAACATCAAATGTTATTACATTGAAAATAATACAAAAACATAGAGACCTAATTGAAAATGTAATGACTAAAAATAAACGTTATTTCGTGCCTATTCTCAATAATGTGGTTACATGTGTATGAACTATTATTAGGTATATACTTTATTTCCAATAGAATAATAAAAACGAATGACTACGTACCATTGTAAGAATAGGTGACGTGTAAGTTTTAAGTATAGGTACTAATCCATCTGACCAACATTGACTACCACTCCATACTAACATTGAAGTAAGTGTTATCTGTAAATACAAGTATAAGTAATATCAGTTAATACGAATTTTTATTTTTAATAAACACAACATTTACATAATATATGTATAAGAGAATCGAGAATACCTACATACGAATTTCGAATTTTAAAAAGCCACAACATTAGCGACTTATTAGCCACCTACTCTACATTATTGCCTAGTACATCGATTGTCTTCTATGTTTTATTTTCATCGATTACTTACGATTGCTAAACAATGGTCATTGAATACTTTTATTTATTTATTAGTTTAAAAGACAGTTCAACTTTATTAAAGTTTTGTTTGAGATTTTATCTTTTTATAATTGAATACGTAAGTGATTATTTAAATTTTTTTTGTATGATAAATCATACGCAAAACACATGAAAACCATCTCTATTAAAATAAGATAAAATTATAAAAACGATTTTTTCAAGATACCCAAATAATATAAGAACATTCTACAGAAACTGTTGTAGTTCAAAACCATGTTATATTTTTTTTTGTGTGTGAATTGTCTGAATTTAGACTCTTACAAATCGTTACTATCTCGTTGTCTTAATATTCTTTAAATTTTTATACTACTACGAAAATTTTATAACAAAGCAATGTTTATAATAATATTCATTATTACAGTTTAATCAAAACACAATTGAAAAAGTATTTCAACTATGAATATTGTATTTAGTAGTAGGTACCTTCAGCCAGAATTTCCACCATAGACCTTTTGGAACTCTGTGCAGACGGCGCGGTCTTTGAATTGGATTCATGTATGCTATTATATATGTTTCGGATAAACGCCAGAAGTAAAAGAAATAAAAAAATGAAGGCAATAATGTGATAATTGATGAACCGCAGTTAAATTTCTGTGTAGTCTGTAACACACTTTCAATCAGGTGTTCATGTGTATTCATTGTTTTTGTAGTTGCTACGTTTAGAATGTGTGCCTAATTGATTTTAATTATTTAAAGATTTGGTTTGAAATTATTTTTGTTTAAGTGCTATAATCAATGCATTTGTGGTTGCCTGTTAAACGTTTAATTGTTTAAGCCAGTTCACTATTACTATGCTTCTGTGATTATATTATTACACAAATGTTCCCAAGTAATAAGGTAATAATATTTTTAGTAGTATAGTTATTAAAAAAGTTAGTAAGTACACTATAAAACATGAATAGTATCATAGTTTAAAATAGTACATTAACCCTATATACAGCCGTATTTGGAAATTTTACTGCCCCAGGCTTGAAATTATTCGCGCCAATTTCCAATACATTTTTTATAGAGTACTTACATGAGTTACAGGAGTGGTAAGTTTTTAATGTCAGGGGCCATAACGAAAATAATTTTTTTAAGTATCTCACGATGCAACTGCATGAGCAAATAAAAAGTAATTTAAATTAAAACATAAATATATTCGAGGGCTGGATAATATGATTGCAAGCAATATTTGGGTCACACCCATCATAATATAGATGATTTCTGTTTCTGATGACTATTTCAATAAAAATATTATACACAAATAATTTGGTGAAAATTTTGGACGATTCTTATGTATTTTAGTGGGCATGTAATTTGCAACAACTATTACTTCTAATCAGCTACATATTGTTGTAACAAATTGAACAAATTTGAGTAAAATAAATGTATATGATCTTCCGATTTAAAAATAATAATACAATAATACAAATATACAATAGAAATAGAACAATACACTGTCTTCATAGGTAGTTCATATGTACAGCGACAATAAAAAACTGACTATTTCATTCAATTTAAATTTTCGAAGTTGAGTAAAAATATCAGTGGGCCCACTTACATAAGATTACATGAATTATATTTCAATTTAAAACTAAAATACCAATATAACTGTTGTTTATTCAGCACTTAATTTTTCAGATTGATGTTCTCTTTACAAAGGAAAATTAAATTTTTTAACTGAGATAAATTTACCTTGCTCCTTCAAACTGTGCCTCCCCCGGGTATTTGCTCACGGGTGCCCACCTTAAACCGGTCTTTTTTATACATGCATTATATAGATTATAGTAGGTATTATTTTTTGGTACTAAAGATAAGACAATTATAATAATATAATACCTCAACTTCTGTGCAATTTGATATGCTTACTACATAGTATATACTATTATTATTAATCTCTAGATATATTTTTATATTAATACCAATAAAATGGCACTTCCTTAATAACATGTCTGCTATTATATTTTTAAACCATGATATAATACTTGTTAAGTTGTAAATACCATTGTTTAATTAGTTGAATTATTTTGAAGTAAAAATACAAACAGTCGATTTGGTGTATTGCAGACTGTAGATTTTGAGTGTACATACCTCTTCATTGAGTACATATACCTACCTAGATTTCTAATGGATGTGTTAAATTTGCACACAAGTTAGTGCAAACCTTTTCCTTAGGAAAAACGATTCTGAGCAGAGAATTTCTAAAGATATTTTATAATTGTCTTGCATTATATTCTAGTGGTAAGTATTTTTTTAAAAAATATCGCATAGATCGTAGTATAATATTATGATATATAATATAATATACCTACCTATTATCAACTATGTTCTATAAGTCAGTAGAGTGAACTAGCGAACCACGTAGAATGGTGTGAATAACTTAACGCGATAAATAACTAGATTAAAATGAATCTAAATATTTTCAAATTTCATTGAATATAGAAAATATTTGAAGCGGAGTAAAGTTTTAAGCCTTTATGATTAATATTTTTTGAATTTCAATATAATAACTAAATACGTTACTTTACTGTTAAAAATCCAATTGCAGTAGGTAGTACTAGAAATTTTAATATTGATAAAAAAAATGTGCTTATGTATACTCTGATATTTTTCAAGTGCTTTAAGTACAACTTACGTTGAGTCTCATTTTCGATTTTTAAGCTTTTTGAAAGAGCATTAGATGTTTTATCAATGTTTATAGAAAAAATTGAACATTCAAATACTTGGGTAGCTTGAAATGAGTCTAAATATTTAAAAAATTTATTATGCATAGAAAATGATAGTTTAAAATTTGAATGTTAATTTTCAAACCATAAAAAACACCTATAAATTGTAACATTAACCACGCCGTTTCATAAATAGACTGATTACTGATCAATATTATGTTACTGTGTTTTGAGTTCCCACTTCTGCTTGACTTCTACTTGATTTTCTTCCAACTATGTCCCAAAATCATTATAGCCTATAATAGGTAACCAATTATAAAGAAATATAATAAATTGTAAAACCTAACCATTAGAATAGATATTGTTACAATATTAATAGATTTGAGAAAAGATATTTGAGGTAATAATACCAATCGGTATTGGTAGTTGATACTTCTCTATAAATTGGTTAGAGTATTATAAATAATATTATTTAGACTATATTATATGACCTACTGTTTGATCGTTAGCCACAATGAACATTTTCAACTTTTATCAATCATATATAAAACCTACTCGTCGTTTATATTAATTTGTGTCTATTGAAATTCGTTTGAATTTAACATTAATTTGGACAATTGGTTAGTCAGACATAACTAATCATTATAAACATATTATGAAACAATTGTAATCATTTCTCGGTGTGTAATATTTTATTGTATAATTCATTACAGCTATATATCATAGAATGATGGAAATGATATATGTATACATAATATACTCATACCATATTTTTTTATTATAACATACAATATTATGTTTAGGGTGAAAAAAGATGATTTTTATTAGGTATAACAAAATGTCAGAACATATTTATGAGTAAACACGTTTGACAAAATACGATGAACATAAAATGATAAGAAATAAAATTTAAATACTTAATACTATGTGTATAAATAAATTATATAAAAATATAATGTTGACATTTTCTTCGTTGATAGGTGTCTACAAAATGTATTAGCTAATTGACGGCAAGAGATCCAAAGAACTATATGAGTATAGTGGTTTTTTATAACCAAAAAATGCATCAAATATCGTTTTGCTGATCATTGCCAAACCGGCTATCATCATGACGATGCTCCCGATCGATTGCGTGTACGGCAAAACGTTAACAGTAAAATACATTAGAGTTGTGATGTACCAAGGTAAACCCACTTGATTCTGAAAAATAATAATTTTTATTCTCGTGAGTTTTATATAAGCAAATAACATTTCAATACTAAATTGTATTACAATTAATTTGATAAATCTATTTATAGTACGTATAAAATCGAATAAAAATTGACAAAATTATCAAAAATATTACTACCAGCTTGGTTAAAAAAATACAAATACATTTATATAAAATAAACAATAGTACATATAATAAATTGGTTTATCTAAAATTGATAAATATAAATTTGTGATTGTATTTTCATATTATATTTCTTAAACATTTATATAACAATTAATATTGAAATTATTATTGTTTTCTTTATTTTCCTAAATACTAGTTAGGTACTAGAAAATATGAAAAAGTAAATTTTTAAGAATATACTACATAAATGATCAAATAGGTAATACCTAGAAAATAAATAATGTATAATATTATTTTTTTTTAAACTTAGTTTATACTTTGTGTAAAAGAAACACCGAAAAAGTGTGTACCATATGTGTTATAACGTAGCTTATTTACATATTAGATGCAACAGAATAATTAAAATAAAAAAGTATCTTCATAAAAAATATTTTACTTTGGTATTTCAATAATAAAACATAAAGAAATTATGTCTTAAGTTAATTTAATGTTGGTACAGGCTTGTACAAAATATAATTAAGGTATGGACCTAAATAGTATAAATAATATTTGTTTTGTTTCAAAAATTATTATTTCAGGAGATGTTTCAATTATTACGACAGAGTTCAATGTGAGTATTGAGTATATAGATTTATATAAATGTTAGCAACTTTTACTACCCATTTAAATGAAAATAGTTAAGGGGCTACCGGAAAATATGTTAAGAAATATCAATGTATCTATAATGTCGCTTGTTTAAAATTTGAAATTGATTACAGTACAAAACTTAAGTACCTAACGGCCAACATGTTCCCATAAAAATTATTACTCATACATAGTATAATCTATTTATGTGTTATTTTTAAATCACAAAACCATGATATTTTTACATAATTATATTATAGATTACTTACATATTCTGCCCAAAACATTGGTATTGTCATATTACTGAATTTGTCAATGTTCGAAAATCCACTCGTTGGATGCATGACTAGATTACTTTGGCTACGAGCTCTACTTTCGACTGGAACCCCTGTCAACTATTTAAAATATATCTTATATTTAGTTCTGTGTCTTAATATAGATTCCAATAAAAGTAATTTGTTAGGTCTAGACTTTAGATACATACTGGTTCGACGATTAAGTACGAGCCATGATTTTCTTCAGTAGGTTTTAATCCTGATATTGATTTCACTAGTGCTTTATCACCATTGAGGAAATGAGGAAATGAAGCTGCAATAGGGAAATCTGTAAAGGTAAAAACAATTCCATGTTTTTAAATAAACATTTGTGGTTTTAAAATAAAATGTAACAGAGTTGTTGCTTTATTGAAGCTGTAATGTTAACGCTATTAGTCAATAGCAAATTGTGTTATAAATTATAATTTTATATGCCAAGTCAATTTTATTTAATCCAAAACACAGGCTAATATTAAATTCCTTGATTTAAAGTTAGATAGAAACCAACTTAATAAAAATAATTTAAAATTCTTACAAGCAAAGTACTTGATTTATAAACAAAACTATATATTATATATAGCATGTATCCAAAATTTCATGAATTCCAACAGGTACTTCATATATTATTATTGTATTCATAAATATTTAAAAAATGGAACAATACATTGAAAATTTTAATTTGTTTATCTCACTCTAATTCTAGTCTCTATTACATTAAAAATATGAATTAATAAATGAAAAAAATAGCTTTAAATTTATTTTTCCCAACGGTATCAATTTTAACTCAAACACACATTTACGTAAATAATAGGAATATTTTGTGAGCTGAATAATGTCACTGTTTAGATAACTGTAAACGTTTTAGTATGTATGTTTAAGTAAAATATGTATTTTAAAAAGATAAATTTACCAATGTAGATATGATTATTTTAAAATCTACTCACCCTTTTTTAAAACATGGCAGTATTACACAATACTTTAAAAATTAGCAATAATATTGCCTCAGAGAACGATAAATGTCAATTATTGTGACATATCGTTAAAATCATTTGTCAAATAAAAAATAAATATACCTAACCCAATACTATACCCTGACAAACAACGTTACAGTGTCAACATTTATAGTTTTTAATTTTACGTCTTTCTACCAAACACTATTATCCACGCCTATTGATTAATTTATGTAATTAGTGTGCAGTGTG